AAAATTAAACGTAGAAATCATTACATTCAGAACTACCCACGAACCTATTAAATACCTCAGTTTATTTCATTTCTATAATTATAAAAAATACTTATAAATCGAAACCTAAATCTCTTATCTCATCTTTTTTTACCTAACACTGTACGAATTGACTCTCCTTACGATGCCGTTTCTTTCAAGGTGGTATACACAAAAATGATCTTAGACTCTGTTACTTACTGGAATGGATTTTCAGGTGATGAGTGAAACCTTTTTTATGATTACGTTATTCACTAGTATTAAACCCACCTCTAAGCCAGACGTGAAAGTTACATAGCCCTCAAAAGTGAATTATTTTCATTCTTTAGAGTCGCTGCATATTTTCACTACTAGAATTCCAGTATAGTCGATTACGTCAAAGCGGCTATACGCGCGTCGCTGTTTGATTGATTATTCGCCCCTAGAACTCTCTGCTAAAGAAAGAAATGAAATCATTTTCAAGTTTCTAATAACGAGTCCTTTTCATCAATCCAAATATTGTTAACTGATGCTGATATGTACTTAGCCAGGCACGAAAAGGCTTAAAGAGTGTTACTTCTTACACGAAGAAAGTCATTCGTTGTATTTTTTGGGTTTTGGTGGTTTTGGATTACCTGACGCTTATGTAACCCGTGCTTTAGAGAACGAAAAGGCAAATCTGCCTTCTTTGTTACTCAACGCCGCCAGGAGATTCTTAATAGAAATTGAGATGTGGTTTGTCAATCAATGACAGAAAAAAAATCCCGCATTTCCTCTCAGTCAGGACGATATATCTACTTTAAAGTATCTTTTTTATCAAGAAATTTGAAAACGTTAAGCAAAAAGATTGCTTTGATAACGAGTCACTTGAGCTTTATCTTGAGGTTTTATTGAATAGTAGTTCTCTGGTTTCGGAATTTCACATGACTTTGGGCATGACGTCATCAAGTGACTTGTACCGGAATACCTAAACATGCTTCATAATGAGGCTCTTGGCAGAGCAAACGAAGTCGGTAAAAGTGTTGATAAACTTGCGGCTATCAAATTCATAAGGTGAAATTATGCATTTGTGGCTTTCATTTTTCTGCTCCTACTCCGATAAGCCGAGCCGCTATGACGGTGCATTTATTTATTCTGCTTGGGCTGCAATGAGGATGCAATTACGCGAGCGGTATCTTCCCAACTCGAATGAGGTATAGCATGTTCAAATTATCAAAGTTCGAACGTATTTAGAATAGCTTAATCGTATCATAGCGCTGTGTATTTACAATTGTCCTTCTGTAAGCTTTGTGGACATTTTTATCCACCTTTTCTAGCGGTACATTCAACAGATTTCTCACATATATACCCTGCTAGTGCCAATCCAACGTCACATCGTATATTATTATACCGACCAGAGCCTCCGTATGTCTTGTACATTTCTACGCATTTTTCTGGCTTTGAGCGGTCACCTGGTTCATTTGGTGCCCAAGGCCACACTCCCTTGATTGTCGCATTTACTGTGCTATTATCACTTATCCATCTCCACTCTCCGGACGATATATCTTTCTTCAGCCCGATGAGGTATTCCTTTGTTTCAAATTTCTGGATAGTTTGGTTCAAAAAGCTCCATTCCCCATAACTTTCGATGGAAACCAGATCATATCCAGTCTGCTTGCACAGATATCTGCTATAGGACCAGGAGTTCCAATTCTCCGAATTGTTTGGGTGGAATGTGTAACTAGAGCCATTGTACACATGTGTGCAACTACTGCTGTTGTCTGCATGTGGATAAGAAGGAAAAAATGCCTTACCTTTCCAAGCTTATTCTAAACAAAGTGCTAAGCAAAAAGAGGACACCTACATTTCTTTTAACTTTTATAGCCTTTGGTTGGAATATCCGCCTTACATATTCATTTTTTCATTTTTTCCCTTCTTGGCATCTATCATATTTGTGATAATTATGTTACTTCGCGTCCGAAAGAAATGCGAAACCAAATGGTAAGCCATAGGCACGAAAAGGAAAAGTTAGAGTGTATAAATGACATACGCCATTTATTCGAATTGTTCGACTTGTTTCCTTGTAGGTCAACAAATTGTGGACCATTTTCCACATTACTCTAAAATGGAATATCCTGGTCAGTTAAAAGGAAAGGGGAATCAGATAAAAATTAATTAAGAATTGAAACATGAAACGTGAAGCTTCAACCATACACATTGTCCTTACCTATAAAGCTCTTGATCGCGTGCATGTTTCGAATTAGAACAAGGATTATTGAAAATAAGCAAGGTTTTTTCATTCTAGCAGACAAATCTATTTCGTGGCATGCTCAAATATCACCGACAAACCTTTTAGTGACTCGTGTCATGATATGGACAAGGAGTGCTTCAGTAATACGCGTATGGCAGATATCTTCGTCTAAGTTGCGCTCAGACGTTATTTTCTTCTCAGAAAAGTAAGAAACATCTACGTGTATTTTGAGGTTAATTAAACATAGCGTAGCGCAAAATTTCTTTGACCAGGTAAATTTGTCACAGTCCACGCTTGTCACCCGTTAAATCATACTCGCTTGGTGTAGTTCATTCGGCCTTGCTAAATTCAGTCTGTACCTTAAAGAGAAAAGGTTAAAAGAGGTCGCCGGCAGAGCACTCAGACACGATTCAACCTGCGTGTGTTTTGCTAATCATGCGTAGTTAAAAGATTGACGCCTGAGAGATGCATATCAATTGCTGACCGTCCTTCGTATGTCCTCGATGTAGGGCAAAAGGAAACATAGAAGTAGACGCCCGTTAAAACTGCACCGTAAGTAGACCAAAACGTCATCTGAAATGACGACAATGGCATAGTGATAAAAGTAGTAATGATGATGAAGATAATAATGACAATCATGATAAGAGTAATTAAAACATTGAAGACAATTATGGAGGGAGTCGCATGATTATCTCATATTGTGCAGGTTGATCGAGATGTTTGAACTCATCGTTTTTGATCAAAATTACAGCTGTTGTTGAGAAATTAACTGATTTTATTTTGATATCTCTATTAAAGTTGCCTTTAACAAACTGCTGATTTAGATTTTTTGAAGGACTCTGGGTTCTCTATGTGATATGTCCTGATTGTAAGGCTTTAACTTTTCTCTCAAAAATGATACATTTTTCGGCTTTTGCGCTGGTTTTATAAGTGGCGAGGATTTAGAACGGTTTCCTGCAGGTTCCTCGAAGCTGATTTGTAGAGCATCGAGTTATGATAATCGACTCATACCCTTTTCAAATTTTGTTTTCCCAACCCATTCGTCGACCCTCATAAATATTCTACGAGGATGAATTTAAGGTATGATTAAATACCTAAGGACAAATGGTGGCGTGGTCCTCAGTAGCATTAGTAACACCAAACGCAAACAGAAATATAGTGTAAATTCCAATTTAGCGCAGAAACTGTCGAAAATGTTCAGTGAGGTTGAAATCAAGATTTTGTGTGGTGTTTAGGGAACAGAGCTGACGGAAGCTGAGGGTAGCTGATTTGTATAGCATCAAGTTATGATAATCGACTCATGTGCTTTCAAATTTTTTTCCCAACCCATTTTGTCGATCCTCTTGCCAAATATATACAAACCTAGCGTACGTTTTAGGGCCTTCCGTAAATATTCTACGAGGATGAATTTCAGGTAGGATTAAATACTTAAGGATAAATGGTGGCATGGTTTTCAGTAGCATTAGTAACATCAAATGCAAACTGAAATATCGTGCAAATAGCAGTCTTCAAAATATAGCGTAAATTCCAATTTAGCGCAGAAACTGTCGAAAATGTTCAGTGAGGCTGCAATCAAAATTTTGTGAGGTGTTTAGGGAACAGAGCTGACGGAAGCTGAGGGAAGCTGATTTGTAATGCATCAAGTTATGATAATCGACTCATATCCTTTTCAAATTTTTCCCCAACCATCTGTCAACCCTGTTCGCTTTTCTTGCCAAGTGTATACAAACCAGACCTTCTTACAAAGGGAAGCGTTGGGTCAGTCGTAGGCCCGCAAGAAAGACACATTTGTAGTGTTCACGTTTGATTGCCTTCAGTTTATATTTTACGAAGATGAATTCAAAGTATGATTATTTAATACTTATGGATGAATGTGCTTACCATCGGTGACTTGGTCTTCAGTAGCGTTGGCAACGCCAAATGCAAACAGTAAAAAAGTGCAAGTAGCGTTCCTCATAGTATCCTGTAGACTCCAATTTAGCGCAAATACGGTCAAAATGTTCAGTGAGGTTGAAATCGAAATTTAATTTAAATTTAAGCACTTTAAGTAAACTTAAGGTGTTTAAGGAACAGAGCTGACGGAAGGTTTTCCTTTGTTTGTTTCTTTTGTTTTTTGTTTTTTTTCGATGTGGCAATACTTCCTAAATCTATTTTTAAGTACTATACGCTTTATTTTGTCAAAATATATACACTGGCATGAAACGTAGGCGCAGAGGAGTTGTATTTGGCCCTACATCCAGGATAATTTACCGTACAACAAAAGCACGACTCAATCCTTTCGACTGACTATCAATCTGAGAAAACAAATTAAATTGTATTTGATTTCATTTTCCTCTCTCCTTTCTACCATTTATTTGAATAAAACACGTCACTAATCCCACTTTATCTAATTTCATTTTGTTCTTTTCTCACTAAATTATTTAGCTCGCGTGATACTATAGCTCATTTCCTTATGTTGAGGGTCTGATCATGTCTGTCTACTTATGTCTCCGCAGGATTTATAAATTGCTGTGTTAATGACGTTTTGAACTGATTTAGGAAGTGCTTTGAAAAGGCTCCACCTAAATCTGACATATTAAATTTTCTATTTTCATTTTCTCCAATCAATCGTCCTAATTGTTCTTAATCCTGCCGGTTACTGACGAAAATGTTTTTTTTTTTTTTTAAACAGTTAAATTGGCCATGAATTAGAGAAAGGGAACTAGGTGACGACGTCAAGCAACAGAGGAAGAGGGTGTGTATAGAGGCCGAAAACAGTGAAGACTGTCGTTTCTTTGTCACAAGGAAAAAATACAAGTCCGAGTCCGTCTTGAGAAATCAGCTGAGCTACAAAGAACTTGCTAAACGAGCTGAACCATGGTGATCTTACACGGCTCGTACTTTTGTTCACATTCACATTTTGTTTTTTAACATGTTCGTAATAAATGAACAACATTTTTTTACTATGATTCCACAATCGAGTGTGAAATTTCCCTTGACCAAGAATCTCTGATAATTGGCTCAGGCTTATCCATCGATAAACCATTGAGAACGGCCGGAATTGATAGTACATTGTATGATGCAACAGGAAGTTTGCAGTTGTTACTATCTAATTAGCAAATAAACTCCACGTTACCGTGCCTCTGTTTAGGAATAGATCGCATGTGATGTCAAAGTGTGGTAAAAACAAAAGAGTGGCTCACGATGCACAGCCGAGTAGACATGACAGTCAAGTGTTTGTGCAAGTGTGAAACTTGTAGTGATTAGGTGGCGTGCTTTCAGGCTATCAAATCTAAATAGCCTCGCACAATCAACTATACCTGCCTGGGGTCATTTTTTTTCCTTTTTTAATATAGCTCGTTGTACTAAAAAAGTCTGGAGTGTTCACATGTTTCCTTTTAAAGGAGGGATCAGTGAGATGATGCCTTTTTCTACCAAAGTGAAAAAATTTGGCCATTTTACGGCTAAAGGTTAATTTTCTTCCTTTCATGAAAATAAAACGAAATTTTTTTTACAGTGAAGGTTCTTTTATCGACTAACGTTTAAGATTTGCCAATTTTTGTGCTTAACGGCTATATTTTTAAGCGGTTAGAATATTTCCATGAAAGTGCAATATTCTCTCGCCTATTTTGCAGGACAGCAAAAAATTTTAAGTTGTCATTTTAAATTTTGAGCGGGAATTTGGCACGTACCAGACGTTTGATTGCTGTGTTAGTCAAGCCGGTGTTACTGATGTCCTTTACTCGAATAGTCAGTTTGGAAGATGACTGATCGCTTCACTACTTCAAAGCTTAGTGACTGAAACATAATTTAATTCATACATATAAAACAAATGAAACGTTGCTGGAGTACCCTTCCGTCCAGAATTTACTGGCATATAGTTGTGTCATTTTCATTGTAGGACCGATGTGCATCTCAAATACTCTAATCAAGTCATTAGATATTTCCCATTGATTAAATCAAATTGCTCATTTATTTATTGTGTTTGTTTTATGATACACCATACCATGATCTCTGAAAATGTAAACGTTTAAACGAGTACTACAAATTGACATATTTAACGCTGTAATTTAATTCAAAGTCATCAGACCTTGAGAATTTAGAACTTAATTATAAAAGCGAAAAGAAATTAAGGATATTTCAAAGTTTTATACTTTACCAAACGAATATAGTATCTGACTTCATTCGATAGTTTGACTTTACAAAGCTTCCCTGTTACACTGAACTTAACACCAAGGCCAAAGCACTTTGAACTTTTGAAAGGTTTTCCTTCAGTACGCCCTGGCGCAGTGCGCTGGTTTCCAACTAATCGCTGTACAAACTTATCCCTT